CTGCAGCTCCTTGCAATGACTACAGGTTGTTGTCAAAACGGCCTCAAAACTCCAAACTCAAAACGGCCACAAAATGTCAAAATGGCCACAAATCCACAGTAAAAACAGCCACTACAAAAAAAGTCAAATGGCCACAAACCCATAGTCAAAACGGCCACAAACCCATAGCCAAAACGGCCATCAAAAAAGTCAAAATGGCCAGAAATCCACAGTCAAAATGGCCACAAAAAAGTCAAAATGGCCACAAACCCATAGTCCAAACGGCCACACAAAAAAGTCAAAATGGCCACAAACCCATAGTCAAAACGGCCACACAAAAGTCATAACGACTTACAAAAACAAACAAAACAAAGCATAACAAAAAAAGTTAAAATGTCCATGATAATAATAAATGAATATTCAATTGGAGGAGTATACCTGTCAGATGTTACTACAATGTAATATTCCAGTAGAGCGCATGTGCTGTTTTAACCAATCTCATCAATATACTTTGATCTTTTCGACTGACCAGAGTACCAATCTGTTGTGGAAACATGAATAAACTGGCAAGCTCTGCCACTACATAAAATAGAATGCTACTACCAACAACAAGAAATCTTCACGGCCTGGAGATTGTACAAGGGAGGCAATAGGGTTGGGACGGGTAACTCGGGTACCCCGGTCGGGTGGATACTGAGTAGGACCCGGGTACCCACAGGACTACCCGGACCCGTGGTTAGTCATGTCATATATTGTTGAATGACAAAAATTATCTAGAACTCTATGGTTACACTACAAGTCACTAATGTTCGCATTTCTTTCTGACTATGCACCCATTCCTTCTGATTTTTCATATGGTTGAATAAAGATATAACTTAAGTCAACTTCAGTGTATGAATAACCAAATGTTTAATACAATCTAAATACGTTTTGCTAGGGCTATTCTAAAATTGTTCCCAATCGGACATTTTGAGACATCTCCTGAGACCTACAGTGGGTACCCGGGTAGGGTCGGGTAATAGGGTGGTGGGTACCTGGATAGGGTCAGGTATAGTTGGGTGGGTACCCGGGTAGGGTCGGGGAATAGGGGGGTAGGTACCCGGAAAGGGTCGGGTATAGGGGGTAGGGTACCCAGGTAGGGTCGGGTATAGAGGGGTGGGTACCCAGATAGGGTCGGGTATAGGGGGGTGGGTACCCGGGTAGGGTCGGGGAATAGGGGGGTGGGTACCTGGATAGGGTCGGGTATAGGGGGTAGGGTACCCAGGTAGGGTCGGGTATAGAGGGGTGGGTATCCGGATAGGTTCGGGTATAGGGGGGTGGGTACCCGGATAGGGTCGGGTATAGGGGGTAGGGTACCCAGGTAGGGTCAGGTATAGTTGGGTGGGTACCCGGATAGGTTCGGGTATAGGGGGGTGGGTACCCGGATAGGGTCGGGTATAGGGGGTAGGCTACCCAGGTAGGGTCAGGTATAGTTGGGTGGGTACCCGGGTAGGGTCGGGGAATAGGGGGGTAGGTACCCGGAAAGGGTCGGGTATAGGGGGTAGGGTACCCAGGTAGGGTCGGGTATAGAGGGGTGGGTACCCAGATAGGGTCGGGTATAGGGGGGTGGGTACCCGGGTAGGGTCGGGGAATAGGGGGGTGGGTACCTGGATAGGGTCGGGTATAGGGGTGTGTGTACCCGGGTAGGGTCGGGTATAGGGGGGGGGGGTACCCGGGTAGGGTCGGGCATAGGGGGTAGGGTACCCAGGTAGGGTCGGGTATAGAGGGGTGGGTATCCGGATAGGTTCGGGTATAGGGGGGTGGGTACCCGGATAGGGTCGGGTATAGGGGGTAGGGTACCCAGGTAGGGTCGGGTATAGGGGGATGGGTACCCAGGTAGGGTCGAGGAATAGGGGGGTAGGTACCCGGATAGGGTCAGGTATAGAGGGGTTGGTACCCGGGTAGGGTCGGGTATAGGGGTGTGTGTACCCAGGTAGGGTCGGGTATAGGGGTGTGTGTACCCGGGTAGGGTCGGGTATAGGGGGGGGGGGTACCCGGGTAGGGTCGGGCATAGGGGGTAGGGTACCCAGGTAGGGTCGGGTATAGAGGGGTGGGTATCCGGATAGGTTCGGGTATAGGGGGGTGGGTACCCGGATAGGGTCGGGTATAGGGGGTAGGGTACCCAGGTAGGGTCGGGTATAGGGGGATGGGTACCCAGGTAGGGTCGAGGAATAGGGGGGTAGGTACCCAGGTAGGGTCGGGTATAGAGGGATGGGTACCCGGATAGGGTCGGGTATAGGGGGGTGGGTACCCGGGTAGGGTCGGGGAATAGGGGGGTAGGTACCCGGATAGGGTCAGGTATAGAGGGGTTGGTACCCGGGTAGGGTCGGGTATAGGGGTGTGTGTACCCAGGTAGGGTCGGGTATAGGGGTGTGTGTACCCGGGTAGGGTCGGGTATAGGGGGGGGGGTACCCGGGTAGGGTCGGGCATAGGGGGTAGGGTACCCAGGTAGGGTCGGGTATAGGGGGGTGGGTACCTGGGTAGGGTCTGGGAAAAGGGGGGGTAGGTACCCAGGTAGTAATTTTGGACACGTCCCAGCCCTAGGAGACAACATAACACCATCTAAGCTCCTTGACATGTGCTCCAAACCAAGGACCAAGTATTTAATCTGTGATTGGCAGGGATAATTCTTGGATGGGGCCTTGTGCTTTTAGCCCCTAAATGTTGAAAAATCCAACAAATACAATGGGGCATCTTAACATTGTGCTGTATGGGCAAGTATGGGTGCACCTCTGGAACACAGGAGATTTTCACATAAAGGGCCCATGTCCTAGACTGAACCCTGGATAGGGATGTGTGATGTGAGGTGCTGAGATGGGGTTGAACAAAAATACCGTATTCAACGTAATAAGCGCCCCGCTCTAATAAGTGCCCACGGCGATATTTGCTAATATATTGGCTAGTGAACAATCCCAATTAGCACCCCTTCCGATAGATCAATGTACACAAGACTTATTTATCCGCGTATAATACGCACACATGTGTTATATGCACCTTAAATATTTGCAATTAAATTCTGGAAAAATATATCTGTCGTATATAAACACTTCAGCATAAACAACGAAATTTATCTTTCAACACCAAAATAATATTCTAAGAGCCCCCATATCTCTAATTTTGAGAGCCCCCTGGGCGCTTATTACGTCGGATACGTCATGTGTGCATATGGTGTTATGAACTGTTATACAATACAATTAATGTGACAATACTTGAGTTTGTCTTCTTTATTTTCTATGTGGCCGTAATTACTTTTTTGTGCGGCCTTTGGACTACGGGTTGTGGCCATTTTGTCTTTTTTCTGTGGCTCTTTTGACTTTACTGAAATGAGGGGGTTTGACATGCTCCCTTTTCTACATCTAGGCCACTGGCAACCAGTGAACAAAAATATATTGTTCAACAGGTAACCATGGTAACTAGCTTATGCATGACACTGTGCAGTCAGGCGAGATGCTACTTGCCTCTTCACCTGTTGTTTTAACTGATAACAATAGTGGGGCTTCCCACAAGGGCTGGGACGAGTCCAAATTTACTACCTGGGTGCCCACCCCTCTAGTACCCGACCCTACCCGGGTACCCACTGTAGGTCTCAAGAGATACAAAATGTCCGATTGGGAATTTCTTTACCACAGCAGTAGCAAAACATATTTAGATACATGTATTAAACGATCTGCTCATTCATACACTAAAGTTGAATTAAGATATATCTTTATTCAACCATATGAAAAGTCAGAAGGAATGGGTGCATAGTCAGAAAGAAATGCGAACATTAGTGACTTGTGGTGGTGGTGGAATTGGCTTTAACGTTGCGTCCAAGATTATTGCACTTATATAGCGACGTGCATGTACGTGTATGTGTTTGTGTGGCTGCTTGTACTAGTCCGGACTAATGCCGATTTATAGTGCTAGCCCAGAGAGATACCATGCCGCAGTTTAACATGAATACCCCACTCAGACACCGTATGCCGACTCCGAGCCGACCAGTCCTTGTTTTAGCCCCTTAATGCCAAGCGCCAGACAGGGTAACAACAAGTACCATCTCTTAACGTCCTTTGGTATGACGCGGCCGGGGATCGAACCCTGGACCTTCCGCTCTCTGGCCGACGCTCTACCACTAGACCACAGAGGCGGTATTAGTGACTTGTAGTGTAACCATAGAGTTCTAGATATTTTTTGTCATTAAACAATATATCACGTGACTAATCACGGGTCCGGGTAGTCCTGTGGGTACCAGGGTCCTACTCAGTACCCACCCGAGTTACCCGTCCCTGCCTTCCCACACCTAGCTCACTCACTCCTTTGTTTTGTGGTGATATCAAGGGTATTACATTAAGCCACAGCTTACATTGTTTCCATGGCGATAACTACTGAATGTTTTGGTTCACGAGACAATGTGGGGGCACGGGTGGCCCAGTCGTCTAAGGCGCCGCGATTCGCTGTGCCGAGTTGCGTCCCTTGGGCACGCCAAAAACCTATGATTGTTGGTTCGAATCCCGGTTCGCCCCGATTATGTTTCTAGGTTTGTCAGCACCATACCCGTGCTCATGGGTTTCACCGAAGTGGTAAACGTCTGAGACCTGCATCACTTCGGGCTTTCCACCTACATTAAGCTGACACGCCGTGATATAACTGGAATTCTGTTAAACGCGGCGTTAAACCCAACTCACTCACTCACGTGACTATGTAATTATGGTTTAATATTTCGAACATTGCAATGCTATTTTATTTTAATACTTTATGTTTTAATGTGTATTTAATGAATAACTACCAGTTTCTAACAGTTATTTTAGTCTTAAACATTAAACATTATGACAAAACTCATGTCCTTATTTGATGCCCATGAGCGTGAGCACATAAGTTTGCATTGAGCAGACGAAAGAAATGGTGCTTTTCAGATTTGTTTTATTCATTTTTTTGTTATTTAGGGATCGGCAGAACCTGTAAACCAATCTAGTTTTAAATATCGCATAGGTGGCTTGACATACCTGACATCGAGAATGCCTTCAAAGTCAAATAATCCAGGAGTCGGTTCATGCAGATTCCATGGCACGTATCTGAAACAACAAACACAAAACCAAGGATAAAATGGATTTCAGTAAAGGATTACAACTGAGATCTTGACTGAGAAGTTTATCCAACTTATAGATATACTGTCTAAATGCAAGAAAAAAAAGAAATAAAAAGAAGACATCAGGATACCTTATAGTGAAACAATACAGTGCTTCACGGGATACAAGGAATTCAATGAAAGCATGAAAGAGTAAGACCACGTGCAGCATGCACGCAACTGAAGTCATGACATGTTAGATTGAACACCCTTTCATCTCCTGCCGCAGTGGCTCAGTGGGAAATCAGTGGGTTACAAAACTAAACACGATGTGTGAGGTGTAGGCTCCATTCACATCATGGAATAAAGAGTAAGACCACGTGCAGCATGCACGCAACTGAAGTCATGACATGTTAGATTGAACACCCTTTCATCACCTGCCGCAGTGGCTCAGTGGGAAATCAGTGGATTACAAAACTAAACACGATGTGTGAGGTGTAGGCTCCATTCACATCATGGAATTTTAATGTGAAAAAGATTGTGACTTTTAACCATTCCAAAATCAACACTAGATTCACATCAAAAGGCCACTTGATAAAATTCTACTGTAACTCAACCTTGGTCTTACAATTCAATTAAAGCGGGGGCATTTCCTTTCAGTATGCGGGGGACATTCTGGCGGAATCCCAGGGGTTTCCTGGTCAATGAATACATTCGGGGTTTATCAACAAGTTAGAGAACCTACTCACGCGGAAGTGTTCACAAAAGGTTTATTATTAAAGTGCACCACAAGGCAATCATATAGCTCTTATGAAAAATACAGTGTGCTGTCAAGAAGCATATGTCAAGAAGCATAATTATGTTTGTGGGGCGGTCGGGTAGCCTAGTGGTTAAAGCGTTCGCTCGTCACGCCGAAGACCCGGGTTTCGATTCCCGACATGGGTACAATGTGTGAAGCCCATTTAAGGTGTCCCCTGCCGTGATATCGCTGGAATATTGCTGAAAGCGGCGTTAAACCATACTCACTCACTCACTAATTATGTTTGTTTGTTGTTTGTTTGTTTCACTCAGCAATAGTCCACTATATGACGGTGGTCTGTAATCAATCGAGTCCAGAATTAATTAATGAACCAGACAGTCCAGTGATTAACATCATGAGCATCGATCCACACAATTGGGATATGATGACCAAGTCAGCGAGCCCGACCACCCAATCCCGTTAGTCGCCTCTTACGGCAAGCATAATCACCTCTTACAGTAAGCATGGGTTGCTGAAGATCTTCAAGGGGCTTTATAATTATGTTAACATGGTTAAGAAGCATGGGTTGCTGAAGATTTTCACGGGGCTTTATAATTATGTTAACATGGTTAAGAAGCATGGGTTGCTGAAGATCTTCACGGGGCTTTATAATTATGTTAACATGGTTAAGAAGCATGGGTTGCTGAAGATCTTCACGGGGCTTTATAATTATGTTAACATGGTTAAGAAGCATGGGTTGCTGAAGATCTTCACGGGGCTTTATAATTATGTTAACATGGTTAAGAAGCATGGGTTGCTGAAGATCTTCACGGGGCTTTATAATTATGTTAACATGGTTAAGAAGCACGTTTGATCCATGTTCAAAGTCTGTTATCTTCCTACCAGGTAATAACAAGTAATCTAGAAAGCTTGGTGCAATGAAAACTCAAAAACATCAGCATTTGAAAACAGATATTTCACTGACATTTTAAATATACCACTCAACTTTTGAAAGGGAAAAAAAGAGTGTCCAGGTGGTGAGTGAGTGAATGAGTATGGTTTTTACGCCGCTTTTAGCAATATTCCAGCAATATCACGGCGGGGGACACCAGAAATGGGCTTCACACATGTCGGGAATCGAACCCGGGTCTTTGGCGTGACGAGCGAACGCTTTAACCACTAGGCTACCCGACCGCCCCGTCCAGGTGGTGAGGAGTATTTGATTGCAAACACTTTATAAATACTTCGCAAGTGATTCTGAGGCATTTAATTGGCTAACCAAGCAAAATCTTTTGCGTTTCTGTTTCCATAATCCAAGGAAAATATCAGGCAACTGCATTAACAAAGTCAGCGAGCCTGACCACCCGATCCCGTTAGTCGCCTTTTACGACAAGCATAGTCACCTTTTTATGGCAAGCATGGGTTGCTGAAGACCTATTCTACCCCGGAATCTTCACGGGTCATATCTGCTTGTACTAGTCCTGACTAATGATGGTGTCATAGTGCTAGCCGACTGAGTGAGTGAGTTAAAAGTTAACCTTGCATCGGCATTATTTCAGCCATATAGCAGCCTGGGATCGGGTGGTCAGGCACGCTGACTTGGTTGATGCATGTCATCGTATCCCAATTGCGTGGATCGATGCTCAGTCACTGGATTGTCTGGTTCAAACACGATTATTTACAGACCGCTATCATGTAGCTGGAATACTTCTGTGTGCGGCGTTAAACAAACAAACAAACAAACAAACAAACAAACAAACAAATGAAGGGGGTTGAGTGTTATCACACATACAGTCTCTGATGTTGCCATGGAACTAAATCACGTTTGGCTTCTTTTCAAGTTAATTATATAAAATAACATAATTAAAAAATATGTTGTCCACTAATTTTGAAACCATGGTAACAGGATGAACATTCCAGCACCCCTACAATAGTTGAGCAGTATATATATGTTATCAGTTTTTTTGCCCAGCACCCTCTTTCGAGTTGTACCGCCTCCTGGTCTAGTGGTAGAGCATCCGCCCAGAGAGCTGAAGGTCCGGGGTTCGATCCCTGGCCGCGTCATACCAAAAGACATTAAATGATGATACTTGTTGTTATCCTGCCTTATGCTCAGCATTAAGGGGCGGAGTCAGTATACTATGTCTGAGTGGGGAATTCATGTTAAACTGCGGCATGGTATCTCAGTGTGCTAGCACTATATATCGGCATCAGTCCGGACTAGTACAAGCAGCCACACAAACACACGTGCATGCACATCGCTATATAAGTGCAATAATCTTGGACGCGATGTTAAACCCCGTTTCACCTCACCTCTTTCCAGTTGTACTGATACAGCTGTGAGACAGACGTGACAATCAAACATTCTGGCTATCAGCCTGCTGAGTTCATCAATAGAAAAATGAAGACATGCTGTAGATCTAGGTTGTTGTTGTTCTGTCAGATGCTAATCAAAGCGGGGTGGTTGGGTAGCCTAGTGGTTAAAGCGTTCGCTCGTCCCGGGTTCGATTCCCGACATGGGTACAATATGTGAAGCCCATTTCTGGTGTCCTCCGCCGTGATATTGCTGGAATATTGCTAAGAGCGGCATAAAACCATACTGCCTGCATTCAGACATTATCAGGGGTGGTTGGGTAGCCTAGTGGTGAAAACGTTCGCTCGTATTGCCGAAGACCTGGGTTCGATACCCACATGGGTTGAATGTGTGTAGCCTATATCTGGTGTCCCCCACTGGAATATTGCTAAAAGGGGCGTAAAACCATACTCACTCACTCACTTACTCATCAAAGCATATAACATGCCGATTGCCTCATTTTATAACTTGGGACAGAAAGAAATAATGCTTATGCTAAAAAGTATTCACAGGTGTGAAAAGTCCAGAAGATTTCCAGGTGTCAAATCTAACTTGACACTTATTGCAACAAATTGGAATGTATCATGTTTTGTTTTGTTTGTTTGTTTGTTTGTTGTTTAATGCCTCACTCAGCAATATTCCAGCTACATGAAGGCTGTCTGTAAATAATTGAGCCTGGACCAGACAATTCAGTGATTGACATCATGACCATCAATCCACACAATTGGGATACGATGACTTGTATCAACCAAGTCAGCGAGGCTGACCACCTGATCCTATTAGTCGCCTCTTACGACAACATAGTCACCTTTTACGGCAAGCATGGGTTGCTGAAGACCTATTCTACCCCGGATCTTCATGGGTCGGAATGCATCATGTACATCCATTTGTTTTACGATTTGATTGATGTTGCCCTTAAGGTTATTTGGTGTAACACAAATGTTATAACCCATTTAACATGTTTTACATGTGCTAACTCTAGCCTGTGCAGAATTCATTTCCATAAAACATATTCAGACATACGTGCAGTGTATCAGTTGTGACATCTGAAAGAGTGTAGGGGGTAGTGGGCAGGGGTAGTGGATTGAGTGTAGGGGTAGTGGATAGAGTGAAGTGTAGTGGATAGAGGGTAGGGGTAGTGGATAGAGTGAAGTGTAGTGGATAGAGGGTAGGGGTAGTGGATAGAGTGAAGTGTAGTGGATAGAGGGTAGGGGTAGTGGATTGAGTGTAGGGGTAGTGGATTGAGTGAAGTGTAGTGGATAGAGGGTAGGGGTAGTGGATTGAGTGTAGGGGTAGTGGATAGAGGGTAGGGGTAGTGGATTGAGTGTAGGGGTAGTGGATAGAGTGTAGGGGTAGTGGATTGAGTGTAGGGGTAATGGATAGAATGTAGGGGTAGTGGATAGAGTGTAGGGGTAGTGGATAGAGTGTAGGGGTAGTGTGGATAGAGGGTAGGGGTAGTGGATTGAGTGTAGGGGTAGTGGATAGAGGGTAGGGGTAGTGGATTGAGTGTAGGGGTAGTAGATAGAGTGTAGGGGTAATGGATAGAGTGTAGGGGTAGTGGATAGAGTGTAGGGGTAGTGGATTGAGTGTAGGGGTAGTGGATAGAGTGTAGGGGTAGTGTGGATAGAGTGTAGGGGTAGTGGATTGAGTGTAGGGGTAGTGGATAGAGTGTAGGGGTAGTGGATTGAGTGTAGGGGTAGTGGATAGAGTGTAGGGGTAGTGGATTGAGTGTAGGGGTAATGGATAGAGTGTAGGGGTAGTGGATAGAGTGTAGGGGTAGTGGATAGAGTGTAGGGGTAGTGTTGATAGAGGGTAGGGGTAGTGGATTGAGTGTAGGGGTAGTGGATAGAGGGAAGGGGTAGTGGATTGAGTGTAGGGGTAGTAGATAGAGTGTAGGGGTAATGGATAGAGTGTAAGGGTAGTGGATAGAGGGTAGGGGTAGTGGATTGAGTGTAGGGGTAGTGGATAGAGTGTAGGGGTAGTGGATTGAGTGTAGGGGTAGTGGATTGAGTGTAGGGGTAGTGGATAGAGTGTAGGGGTAGTGGATTGAGTGTAGGGGTAGTGGATAGAGTGTAGGGGTAGTGTGGATAGAGGGTAGGGGTAGTGGATTGAGTGTAGGGGTAGTAGATAGAGGGTAGGGGTAGTGGATTGAGTGTAGAGGTAGTGGATAGAGGGTAGGGTAGTGGATTGAGTGTAGGGGTAGTAGATAATGGGTAGGGGCAGTGGATTGAGTGTAGGGGTAGTGGATAGAGGGTAGGGGTAGTGGATTGAGTGTAGGGGTAGTGGATAGAGGATAGGGGTAGTGGATAGAGGGTAGGGGTAGTGGATTGAGTGTAGGGGTAGTAGATAGAGTGTAGGGGTAATGGATAGAGTGTAGGGGTAGTGGATAGAGTGTAGGGGTAGTGGATAGAGTGTAGGGGTAGTGGATTGAGTGTCGGGGTAGTGGATAGAGTGTAGGGGTAGTGTGGATAGAGTGTAGGGGTAGTGGATTGAGTTTAGGGGTAGTGGATAGAGTGTAGGGGTAGTGGATTGAGTGTAGGGGTAGTGGATAGAGTGTAGGGGTAGTGTGGATAGAGGGTAGGGGTAGTGGATTGAGTGTAGGGGTAGTAGATAGAGGGTAGGGGTAGTGGATTGAGTGTAGAGGTAGTGGATAGAGGGTAGGGTAGTGGATTGAGTGTAGGGGTAGTAGATAATGGGTAGGGGCAGTGGATTGAGTGTAGGGGTAGTGGATAGAGGGTAGGGGTAGTGGATTGAAGGTAGGGATAGTGGATTGAGGGTAGGGATAGTGGATAGAGTATGGATGTAGTGGATTGAAGGTAGGGGTAGTGGATAGAGGTTGGGGTAGTGGATTGATGGGACAGGGGCAGTCGATTAAAGGTAGGTGTAGTGGATTGAAGGTAGGATGTTGTGGATTGAGGGCAGGTAGTAGTGGATAGACGGGGGGGGAAGGGTCATGGGTCATACTGTGGTGGTCTTAGGCTACAAGCGTGATCACTGTACTAACAACAAATAAAATGCTAGACAACTTTGACGATCATGGCACGAAGTAATTTTGTAGCATACCTACGTTCTGATGCAAGTACCTGTACTGTCATGAAGGGCACACGTGTAACCCAGAAAGTAAAACAAATTGTAATTTGCATGTGGTACCTTCAGAATCAGGAATGAGAATATGCCCCATTTCAGCTTAAATATTTATGTAATATAAAGTAGAAAACAAACATATTATGAAAACAAAACTAGTAATACATTTTCACAAAATTGACTTCCTGAAACATTTGTTATTGTTTTCAAGGTACAAGGGGTGTTAAGTTGACACAATTTGATATTCATATATCTACAGTGGTAAACATGGTAAAGTTATGAAGATTTCTTCATAATTAATCTTTTGAATTAAAATTGCTACATTGTTGAAATATTATTTCATAATGCAGTAAATCAGTGGAGACATGCAGATATTGTGAAAATTGAAACCCACAACGTTGTGAGTGCGTTTGTTATTTGCAACCATGAACCATACATCTCTTTGAGAGTTACTCCCTGATGGTAGAATGTTTACTCCTGTAGCCTGACACGTCATTTATTCACAAACACTACCATGGTGCCCTATTACCAGGATTACCTGACCCTACCCGGATACCCACTGTAGGTCTCAGGGGATGTCTCAAAATGTCCGATTGGGAACATTTTTAGCATAGCCCTGGCAAAACGTATTTAGATACATGTATTAAACAATCTGGTCATTCATACACTGAAGTTGAATTAAGTGATATCTTAAAAATTTTATTCAACCATATGAAAAATCAGAAGGAATGGGTGCATAGTCAGAAAGAAATGCAAACATTAGTGACTTGTAGTGTAACCATAGAGTTCAAGATAATTTTTGTCATTCAACAATATATCACGTGACTAATCACACGTTTGGATAGTCCTGTGTATATCCGGGTCCTACTCAGTACCCACCCGACCACCTGAGTTACCCGTCCCACCCCTAGTGCGGACAAATCTCGAAACATAATCAATGATAATTGATGGGAACCGCGATGCCAACCCACGATCATGGGTTTCTGGCATCCCCAAGGGACGCAACTCTGCACAGAGAATTGTGGCGCCTTAGACGACTGGGCCACCAGTGCCCCTTAACTATAACCATGCTACTACAATTTGGAATATGACACCTAATATCAACCATGTCATGGCCGGAGTCCAGTCATCATTCAGTATTGGTTGTAGCACACGGTACATCTGTTACCAAGAGCTCGCGGTTAATCCATAGACTTACGTATATTGCAAATATTCACCCTATTTGGAGGGGTGTGGCATCACACAGATATTGTAAATACTCGGATGATGTTGGATAAAGATGTCTTTCATAAGTGAGTGAGATGTTTACAGTTGTTCATGTGATCAGCGAGAAAATTACAAAAGTTTCTTAAACATACAAAATCCCATGACGAGGATAAATGGTCATAGTGCATTTATCATGTAAATTAATTATGAAACAAAACAACATATGCCAGATTTTCAGCTGGCAATAATTTGTGGTAATTAGTGACGCTTACACATCATACAATTTGAGCTACACGTTACACTGTTCAACTCACTCACTGAATTTGGGCACTAAACTAGCTAAATAAAGTAAATGAATTAAGAGCAGAGTCCTCCTTTAATTGGTTTACCTGTACTAGGACTAAACGTCTAAAGCAGGGCTGGGACGGGTAACTCGGGTACTTGGGTTGGGTGGGTACTGAGAAGGACCCGTGCCCACAGGACTACCCAGACCGATGGTTAGTCATATGCTATATTGGTTAAATACAAAACTGTCACTAATGTTCGCATTTCTTTCTGACTATGCACCCATTTTTTAAAACTTGTATATGTTTGAATAAAGATAAAACTTCAGTCAACTTCAGTGTCTGCTTGACCAGATCTTTTTATACTAGTAGCTAAATACGTTTTATCCAGGGCTACGGTCAAACCATTCCCAATCAGACATTTTGCACCTATCTCTTGAAACCTACAGCGGTTACCCATGTGGGGTCGGGTAATAGTGGGGTGGGTACCGGGGTAGTTAATTTGGAGTCGTCCCAGCCCTAGTCTAAAGTGCATGTCATAAGCTTGTACAGATGGTATATAAAGGCTATTTATTTCACCTGGAAATGAAAATTAAACAATAAACATTCTTTAAAATTGTCATGTACTTGAAATACTTTGAAAACACTGTTACAAAAATACCTACGTTTCTAGAGTATTTAGGCCACAAGATTTCATCTTCAGCATTCGATCTCTCCAGTAGTCGGGGACAACTCGGAAGTAGTGCATCGCTCCGCTTAATATCTTTAAAGTCTTTCCACCAAGAACAAAATGTCCTTTCCTAAAACTCACACTAGTGCCATCAGTCAAGCCTCGCTGATTGCTGTCCATGTTGAACACGTATTTGTCTTCGCGGTTTGCTAGTAAATTGGCCTGTGAATACTTCTCCACTTCGGATGCGTTGCGTGACCTGCCGACGATCCAGATAAGGACTATTCCGCATATAACAAGCGCTAGGAGACGCTTCGCATGCACCCCGCGAAAAGATATCGCTGGTGTGTACATTTCCGTTTTCATTTAGGTCACTGTCGATTTGCATGCGTTAAATAAGGTGACACGAGACTTAGAGCGTACAGTAAGTCTCTGCTATCTCCAATATACAAATCACCACATTCCCCGTCAAGGGCAGATCACTCTAACATGTAAACATCGACTGTCAACTGAGGCAGCGAGCAAATAGTGCTTTAAACGCTCGTAAAATGATATTTTCAAGGATAGACAGATTTACAAGACGAACGTGTTGTTTGTTTGTTGTTCATACAGTAGTGCTCAGTTATATTCCAGCTATAAGAGGACTGCCGGTAAAAAAATGGGTGGGTATAAGACAAACCAATGATTGATAGTATGAGGAACGTCCCACGTGAGTGAGTGAAGGATGATCACCGCCGTCATATAGCTGGAAAATTGAGTGCGGCGTTAAACAACAAACCAACCAACCACGAATAGCCCTTTTCCCGCCAGACATTAAATAGTGTAACGTGTGAAATTTATAACCATTGTCTGTCTGTCTTTGTTTTACGAACCGATATATAGATTATCAACCGGGTGTGTTTCCGTATCAAATAGACCATCACATAGCCTTTGGCGAGCAGAACGCCTCCGTGGTCTTGTGGTAGAGCGTCCGCCCGGAGAGCGGAAGGACCGGGGTTCGATCCCCAGCCACGTCATACCAAAGGACGTTAAAAAGATGGTACTTGTTGTTACCCTGTCTGGCGCTCGGCATTAGGGGCTAAAACAAGGACTGGTCGGCTCGGAATCAGTATACTGTGTCTGAGTGGGGTATTCATGTTAAACTGCGGCATGGTATCTCAGTGAGCTAGCACTATAAATCGGCATCAGTCCGGACTAGTACAAGCAGCCACACAAACACACACACGTACATGCGCGTCGCTATATAAGTGCAATAATCTTGGACGCGACGTTAAAACCCCAATTCACCTCACCTCACCTTTGGCGAGCATGATGCATACAGTTTATAGATAATATATATAGATTCTTTTTTTACCATACGAAAACACACGAGTAATAATCTCTTCGCCATATAATATAATTTTTAAATAATGGATGTTTAACACGTAATTTCAGTGGAGTAGCTTTGAAAAACGTGTCTAATGTTATTCTTGAGTGAGCCGCCCATTTGACAATATACATGAAATGCAAAATGATCCGCGGCCATGTTTGTCGCCATGTTTCGACAATAGAGGAAAACCTTTTATCATCCAAAACTGGCTCCCACAGGAGATATCGATTGGATGAGATCAAGCGATATCTACACTGTAGAAATCGCGGCAATGAAATTACATCACAATGCTTTGCAGAACATTGTGACGTCACTGGTTACCATGACGTCACAATCAAATGACATCACTAATGGCTGCTACTGAAGCTCTTTGCAGTACTTTTTACACTGAAGACACTGCTAATTACTGTCTACAAATTGAAAAAGTTGAAATAATGATGTTGGATGATAAATAAAATCTCACCCTCGTGTCTTTTGATATCAAATATATCAACACTCGTTCATAAAAGTGGAAAAATTCAACTCGTGTTGATATATTTGATATCAAAAGACACTTGGGTGAGATTCTCTAGATCTAAACATATCGGGATCCTTAGTCAATAGTTTAAGACAGAAGGCATCACGTTAATTTATTTCCTAGGAGGGCAAACATATCGGGGTTCATAAAAATCGTATGTGCCCTTGGGTAATATCACGTCACGAGACAACATTTTATTGTTTCCGTCATTCGGACGGCATTGTTGACGTCATTCGAATCCTATTGTGACGTAAGTTCGGAAAGACGTCACACTAGAAACGACGTCATAGCTGAAGATTGTTGACGTCATTCGACAAATTGTGGGGCGCGTTGCAAGCCACGAATCGCTTAGAGAAAGCAAATTCATCGCTCAACCCGGGGTCTGCAACAGTTCGAAGCGCTTGCGCACTCTTCCAAAATGGCGGTACAACTATACCGCTTGGTTGCCTTGACGTTTGTGTGTTTGTTGTTTAACGCCGCACTCAGCAATCTTCCAGCTATATGACGGCGGTTTGTAAATAATCGAGTATGGACCAGACAATCCAGTGGTTGACATCATGAGCATCTATCCACGTAATTGGGATACGATGACATGCATCAACCATGTCAGCGAGCCTGACCATCTGCGTAAAGAAGAACGTAATAGAAGAGGCTCGATGACGAGCTGATGAAATTTATGACTACTTTGAAGATGTGGAGCAGACTGAGGATGATGGGGTGTTAGCTACCTTTGCTCATTTTCTAGTTGATCCAGTCAAGAATTCCTTGTTCCGCTGTCAAAGTAAGCCGCCATTTTGGTTTGAGAACGAAGCGACCTCAGTCAGCGATTGTTTCGCTTGCAAGCGGCTGAAAGTTAGCGCACTGTTGTAAGGCGAATCGCTGTACATCGCTTACAAGCGATTGGCGCTTTGCAACGCGCCCCTAGTTCCGCTGCTGTTGCGACTTGCTGTCCTTATTAGGTAAACAATAAAATTCGTCTCTGTATGTTTGTTGTTGTGTTTTTTTAACGCCGCACTCAGCAATATTCCACAGACGGCGGCGTCTCTGTATGTAGCAGGGGTCCGGAAACGGTCATATGCGCCGGACATATCCGATTGGGAATCTCAAATGTCCGATTTAAAATATTGCTTAACGGACATTTAAATTTTTCTGTCCGGACATTTTAAAAAACAAACAACGCTACCTTGGGGGTCCAAATAATTGATGAGCGTTATCGTATCCCTTCAACGACTTCAGGTGAATAAACAGGCATAACAAACTTGGTCAATAAAAGTATGAAATTTGATATAAAACATCACTAGACATGATGATTTTACCATTTAAAATGTATTTCCTGCTCTCAAAGGCATTGTTTTATATGCAGAGATTAAGATTACCGTGTGTATTTTCTCGTAAACTAAGCCGGAAATAGCAATCAGCTGTGCACACGTTTCCTCCCAATCTACCGGTGATTCAGTAAAAAACGTACCCAATGATACTATGTAGACATCTTCCTGGGGAATAAATAGAACATATTCGGGTTCATGTCATACCATGTTTACGACAATCGTGCCTAAATTCCGGTAAACATAATATGACATGAACACCCATATAATATCCTCTATATATGTGGAGCTTGAAAGTAGTTCCTGCTAGGCCATCTCATTTGCATATTTACCATGATACCCAGTGTAAGGGATTGGTTTATTGCATCATTACACACACCTTTAAATGATGAATTGAGGTGAGGTGAAATTGGGTTTAACGTCGCGTCCAAGATTATTGCACTTATAGAGCGACGTGCATGCACGTGTATGTGTGTGTGTGGCTGCTTGTACTAGTCCGGACTGATGCCGATTTATAGTGCTAGCTCACTGAGATACCATGCCGCAGTTTAACATGAATACCACACTCAGACACAGTATACTGACTCCGAGCCGGTGACATGGTAACAAAAAGTACCATCTTTTAACGTCTTTTGGTATGGTGCGCCCGGGGATCGAACTCCGGACCTTCCGCTCTCCTGGCGGACGCTTTACCACTAGACCACGGACGCGGTCTATTATGAATTGATATACATGGACATCCCTCACAAAAGTACATTTAACTACTAGTAAATCGCTTCAAACTTTTCTGGGACTATAATTCGGCTGTAACCGAGAACCCCTTTAACACCTATTAAGGCCACTTTGAACAGTATTTCAGTTGTATCACAGCGCGTCAGCTTGGTGTGTGTGGTTTGTACTCTGTAATATTCCAGCTATATGACGGCGGTTTGTAAATAATCGAGTCTGGACCAGACAATCCAGTGATTGACATCATAAACATAGATCCAAGCAATTGGGATCGATGACATGCATCAACCAAGTCAGCGAGCCTGACCACCCGATCCCGTTAGTCGCCTTTTACGACAAGCATAGTCACATTTTACGGCAAGCATGGGTTGCTGAAGACCTATTCTACCCCGGATAGGAATGCATCATGTACATCCATTTGTTTTACGATTTGATTGATGTTGCCTTTAAGGTTATTTGGTGTAAGACAAATGTTATAACCCATTTAACATGTTTTACATGAGCTAATATGCATCAGCCAAGTCAGCGAGCTATAGGTGCTATAAATGTTGGACATGGTTTAACAGTTAACGAAGTTTTCCATTGCCCAGTTACAATGTTACTTTGAAAAGTAGCTAATTATAACGTCTACAGGCCAGCAACCAGTTACCACCAACACCCTGGAATAGCACGCAAGTGATCGCGACATCTTTTACTATTGTTCCTATTCAGTAGAAAGGAGAAATATTAATTAAATAAAATATTAATTAATTACATTTGCCTTTAGTTTGGACATATGAAAAACACCAGATGAGCACCTTGCTCAAATATAACGTCAGAAAAGATACGAAGTGTCACGTGACTAGTTCAAGTAAACAAAATCCAAGAAGGGGATGCAAATTTTGTTCAGTCATTGCTTACAGTGTGTCTGTCTATCATTTCTCCCCGAAAATATGATTGTACAACCTAATTTAGCATTTGTTTCAAGCATGCACAAACTGAATATATCGCGAAATCCATTAAATAGTGTCATTAGTAGAATTAATTTTAGGAATCTTTGTCCGTTGGAAGACTACATTGATGAAAGCGTTTCTTATTCATTATAATAAATAAACTATATGAATGTGTAACCAGAGATTATGTCACATGTAATTTATTTAACCGCAGAGGTGCGCGTGGTCACGTGGCACGTGCCGTTAAACGATGTTAAAACACATCTGTGACGTCATTCTATTGTTTGAACGCTCCATTATTTTTTCAGGAATGGAGAGTTGCTTGTCAACTGTACATTATCTTGAAGCAGCATTTGAATTTTTCAAATATTTTCAACTACAGAATATTTTGTCAAAGTGTAAAAGTAGGGATGAGTTTTAAGTAGGGGAATATCCTCGTAACTCTCCATTCCTTAAAAATAATGGGCCTCGGCCACTGCGGGGCCTCTGCTCCATTATATTTAAGGAATGGAGAGTTACTCGGACATTCCCCTCTACATAATAACTGGGCCCCGTTCCGTATAACAACCTTTGCCCTGAGGTTATCGTAGGCCGTAACATCGTTACCTAAC